AAGACAAACAGCATAAACTCTGTACTCACAGAAAATAGAAATTTCAGGTATAAATTGTAGGAATTTGTCAAAACTTACGTCACACCAAGAGAAAGAGACTATGGAAAAACCCCACAAATTCTATGACAGGAAGATATATGTTATAATATGTACTACATAGAGCCAAATAATATGTAGAAAGAGAAGCTCTGTAGGTCCCAGCATGGGACAAGACATTTCAGTCAGCCTCTGGCTGCTACAACAGCAGCAGTTGTAATGTGTAACTAAAATCAAGTAGTTACTAATGGTCTAGAAGTAGAAGCAGGTTAAAATATCCCTGTTCCAGTTTCCATGCCCAAATTCCTCAGATATTCAGATATTTTGTTCTATTCTCTGTATGCCTGTGATACACATTGACCAAAGAACTGTTCAGTACACTTTTTATTTAAAATTCCCATCACCCTTCATCCTCAGCCATAGAAATTTCATAGCAGTTGAATAATGGAAATTATGATGTACCAGAAATTAAGTATATCTTAAGGCATTATTTTATCTTGAGAGATTGCTGGGTAGAAAAACAGTCTCTAAAATTTATAGCTGCTTTTATTTATGGATGCTAAAAACTTACTCCCTCACTTTTAATAGTTTTATATTCTAAACACTTTTCTCTCCTACTTGCTTAATGATTTCACATTTTCTTTACAGACAGACCAGCTGTTTCTAAAACACATTTTTAGTAATTTACAAGTAACAGCAGAGATAAACCCCCACATCCCTGTATTGTTCTCCCCAAAAACGCCAAGGTACCAACACTTATTTTAGTATGCCACAAGCACAGCTCCTTTATCTCCTTTAGTAAGGAGCACTGTTCTCAGGCAGTCTGTCCAAGAGAGGAAAATGCAAATTGTTGCTTTGGAATTGAACAGGTTTCCTGCTCTTTGGTCATAATGAATGTAATATCTTTCCTTGGCGTGGAGCTGAGGGGTGTTTAACTCACAGATCAGCTGCTCCCTGTGTTCCACATGTCTGCAGGCCCTTTCCTTTATCTGTTCCCTTCCAGCATCCCTGAACTGGAAATTACAGCTGGCAGCATAACACAGATCTCACTGCTGGGGCTCACAGGACTTTTTGCAGTGTCAGGATAAAGTTTAGCATCATCTTTTTATTTTCTACTAAGTTGTATTTATCATGCAATGTTATGTTCTGAAGGGGTGTTTTGCAATTGATAGTTGGTAAATGATAACTGGCAGTGTTTCATTCAGCTGAGGCATTTACTCTTTAGCAGGCTGAATAAGGTCTTTAATGGGTAGAAGGAAAGTTGTTCACTTAGGGGTTTTTTTTCTTGGTCACCAATCTCCTGCATAGTATTAATTATCTGAAACAAAGTAAAGTGACTGTTAAATAACCTCAACAATTCAAACAGGAAAATGATTAGAACAAACTTCTGCTTCAGGGTAAGTGCAGCACTTAATTATTTCATTTCATACCATAAAATACAATCTTTTGAAAATACTGAGAGCCATCACAAACCCAGTGTCCTTATAAAACATTTATTCTGTTTTGGTACTCTATGTACTGCTGTTATACTCTAATACAAAGATGATTTTTCCTCTCTGGTGGTATGGCAAAAGTAGAAGTGTATTTGCACGCTCCTTGACAATTTTAGATTGTAAATCATCCTAGACACGAATCAATAAATGCAATTATAAAATCTAGATTTTTTTTTTCATATTCCGAGGATTTCCATTTATTTTGAAGTGTATAAACTACAACTGATAACACAATTTATTATAAGGGACATATTAATGGGATAAGAGAGCTTTCCTTCACTCTTTATGGTCTGATCATGAGCTAGTGCCAGCAAAGTAAACGAGAGTATTTAAACCATACCCTAAACTCTGTTCAACCCTTTCTGCTCAGTGAATTTTCTTACCACTGAATATAAAAGGAGAATTATAATTCTGAAATCACAGAAGCATTTCAGATCCAACCCTGCTAGTTATGCATCACAAGGCACCTGTTAAAATACATTTCTAAATGAAATATAAAATGATACAGTAGCTAAAAAGTCATTGTAGGTGAGCACACGGAAATGCTTGTATGGAACAGTGGGAATGATGGGCTCTGCTGCTCTGGTGTGGGGCTGGAGTGCTGTCCTAAAACAACTCAAGGTATTTCACCTCATGTGCTTTTTTATTTTCTTCTTATGGGAAGTAGAACATGTTGTCATTGCAGAGCCACGAACCACAAGGGCAGAGGGTCAGGCAGCACCAAACCCAAGCTGCCATCCTTCCTCTCAGCATTCTCTGCCCTGAAACTGCCGTGGAGAGCTGGCAGATGGGGCTGCAGTGCTGCAGAGCCAACACTCCAACCCTCCTGAGGTGCTCCCCAGCCAGCCCTTTGCTCAGTGCTCATCTGTTGTTTCTCACCTCCTGCTGCTCCTCTAAAGCCCCTGGGCCCCAGAGAGCAGAACCTGCAGGTGCCAGGCACGGCCACAAAGCCTCACCTGCATCAAGTGCATCCTGAGCAATTTTGGCTATAAGCACACACTCCTGAACAGAGCTGTTTTCAGGGCTGGGATGTACTTGTGATTTGAACAGCCAGGGTTGGACATCTGCTCTCTTCTCTGAAAATGCCTCACATCATCTTTGTGGCAATCCCTGGTGCTTCAGCTGGTGCAGCTGCAGCCAGGCTGGCCCAGCCTTTGGAAGGACAGGGACATCTTGCTTTGGCTCCCTCTACCAGGTGCTGCCCCACCATCAGCACAGCCTGACCCTGAGGGTGAACAGGAACAAAGTGGGGCTCTCCCTGCAGACTGGCACCTTCCACCAAACCTCAGGTGCAGGATGGCTCTGCCTTCAAAGGGAGGATCACACAAACAAAGCCTCTGCTCACCAGCTGATTCTGACTTCACTTCCAGCTCTAAAGCCTTCCTCCAGCTGAAAGCAGATTTTTATCTGCCTCATTCAAGCTGTTTATGGGGTGCTGCTGCCTGCCAGGCTTTGTAACCCTCTGTGCCTCAATCCTTCAGAGAGCTTCCCAACCCCATAAATAACGTAAGTATAAATGATGTAAACACTGTTCCTGATCGCGGTGTTCCCAAGGGAGAATTTTTCAATTTTATATCAAAGCAATTTTGTTCCTTGTAGCCCCAGCTGTCAGAGCCAGAATTCCATAGCAGGTAACACCCTGCACACCACAGTGCAGCACCATCCCAGGGTTTGGATGTACATGGAATGTTGGTCACATTAAAATTCAGAAGCTTTGTTTGAGGCTCTTTTCATTACCTGGTACAGGTCACCATGCATGTATTACTTACTGTTGTTATTTATGACTCCAATAATCCTCACCACATCTACAAAGCCTTCCGGAAGCTGTTCCTATTTCCATTACAACGGGATGACCTGGGGCCTGCTTTCTGCTGACCCTGGTAGAAATTTCTTTATTAAGCAGGACAACGTGCTGCATGCAGGTAACACTCCTGAGCTGGCAAACCAACAGTGTTTCCACATTTTATATTACAGCACCTTTTTTCCCCCTGAGGAGTATTACTGCAGTTTCTGTAGTTTCCTACTGAAGCACAAAAACTTTCTTATGGACTCTGTAAAACAGAGGTTGTTTTAATCATATTTTACTGCTTTCCAAGAAATGCTCTTTTTAAAATTGTTTGTGAGAAGCCACTAACAGCTCTTCCAAGCTCGTGAAGCAAGAATGAGGTGTTATGACAAGATTTTCTTTGTATTTAGTTCCTTTGTAACCAGTGGGATAGAATTTACCTGAAATGCTTTTTATAAACACTTCTATGTAAAGCAGGGTGTCTGTTTGGGTTTAATGCCTGGAGGAAAAGGGAAATTTTTATATGTGATGAATGTCTCCAGATGTCACAGTGCCTTAAAATACTGGATCATTGCAAGCACTCAACCTAAAATCCATACCTTTCCAAAAGCCTGTTGAACAGACTTGGTGAACACTTTTTAATGTTAGAGACAGAGCTTTTGGTGAGGGGCCAGAGCAGAAGGTATTGCTCCATCCCCTCAGAGGTGTTTTGCCCTAACATGGCACTTCAGAAATTAGTTTTTATTCTTTGTGACTGACTGTGCCATGTGGTCTTACAGCACAGTAGGCATGTAGGGGAAACAAACTGACAAAATTAAGAATTTCAGGTTTATCATTAAGAAGAATATTCATTACACAAGATTCTACAATTATGTTATTGCTACATGACCTTGCAGAACAAAGTTATGTTCTCAGTTAGGGCTTGCCTGACGCTGCCAGTGGAATCCAACTCAAAATATGCTGGATTGAGAAACCAAGTTCACATTCTTCTCTGCAAACTGAGATTTGAATAACAAACTCCATCCTTTCTAGATCAGAACTGTGAGATATTCCATACATAATGTTGAGTGCTGGGAATGACAGGACAAGGGGGAATGGCTTCCAAGTGGCAGAGGGTGGGATTAGATGGGATAATGGGAAAAATCCTTCCCTTTGAGGGTGGTGAGGCCCTGGCAGAGGTTGCCCAGAGCTGCTATGGCTTTTTCATCCCTGGAAATGTCCAAGGCCAGGTTGGATGGGGCTTGGAGCAACCTGGGGCAGTGGTAAGTGTCCCTACCATGGCAGGGGGTGGAAGTGGATGGGCTTTGAGGTGCACTTCAACCCAGACCATCCTGGGATGCTCAGATCACTGAGGGCAGCCCAGAGCAGGGATGCAGGTACAGAACGGGCTCCTTTCCCTGGCAGCTGCTCCGGGCAGAGCCTCCTGCGAGCCGCCAAAGGCCACCGCGGCTCCCGCAGGCGGGGAAGGCTCTGTGCCCAAGTTCATAACCTCCCGTGAAAAGCCCATTTGAGCAGCAGGTAGGTGTGGGTTTGGATGCTGTAAAGAGAGCGGCAGCAAGGCGCTTTGCCCCCGCGCGGGGCCGGGGCGGGCCGCCCGCGGTCCCGCCCGAGCTGCGGCCCCGCCCGAGGCGCGGCCCGCGCAGGTAAAGCCGGGCCGGCCCCGCCGCCGCCGCAGTCCCGCCGCGATGTTCGGGGCGCAGCAGCAGCAGCAGCAGCACTACTACCGGCGGCAGCAGCACTACAGCACCCTGCCCGTCCGCCGGCCCTGCCCCGAGCCGCCGCCCTGCCCCGAGCCGCCGCCGTGCCCCGAGCCGGCGCGGCCGCCGCCCTGCCTGGACCCCGCTCCGCACCAGCAGCAGGACGGCGCCGTGGCCTACGACCGGGTGCGCACCTACGGGCCGGGCTGCCGCCGGGTCAGCACCTCCTGCTCCTCCCGGGCCGCCTCGCCGCTGGACTGCGGGCACGGCTGCGACCCGCCACAGGTACGGCGGCCCGGCCGCGGAGCGGGGGCTGCCCCGGCTCCCTCCGCTGAGCGCCGCCGAGGCCGGGCCCGGGAGCTGCGGGCGCCGACGGGCACAGGGTCTCCTCAGGCCGGGCTCCCCGGCGCTGGGCCGGTCCAGCGCGGCCCCTCCGCTCGCCCCGCGCCTCTCCGCTCGCAAAAGCCGCTCGGCGCTGTCCCGCCGGGCTGCGGTGGCTGTCCCGGCCCCAGCGCGGTGTCTGCCTTTGCCACCCTCTTCCCGCGGCTCCCGCCGGCTCTGGCGCCGCTCCCTTCCCACGCCGGGGTGTCCCCGCGCGGCTCCGCTGGCTCGGGGCTGCCATGCACATGGAGCACGAAGCCTGGGTGCTCAGTAGCGCTCTTTGCATCGATGGTGCTTAACGCGGTCCGCGACTCGGGTGTTGGGGTCGGGCTTGGAAAGCCCTCACAATGCAGCTCGGCAGGTTTGTTGTGTGCCGATCCAAGGCATGGCTTGAAAGCATCGGTGGAATTTAATGTCATTTTAACACATAAAAATGGTATATTAAAACTAGAAACCAATAGCTTAAGAACATATTTAACTGATAAAGCAGAAAGGAGATCAAAATTTATTCTCAAACCAATTTTTATTCATACAGCAGAATGCCATTATCATTGATAGGATTGCTCCGCTGTACTCAAATGTCAATGTGCATTTGTTTCAAGATGAACTCTTACTGAATTTTCTTTCTCTTATTATATTTACCTATCAAAAAGAATCTGGATTAAGACCAATACAAGATCTGCATTCCTTTCAAAGCAATATTTGCATAGTTTGAGGGCTGCTCTCCTCTCCAGGATAGTTTATGTAAATCCTAGGAAGTGAGCGAGCAGCTGCACTAATACAAGGACAAGAGGAAACAGCCTCAAGTTGTGCTAGCAGAGGTTTAGGTTGGATATTAGGAAATATTCTTCATGGAATAGATGGTTAAACATTGGAATAGATTGCCCAGGGAACTGGTGGACTCACCATCCCAGGAAGGGCTCAGAAATGTGTGGCTGTGGCACTCGAGGACATGGTCAAGTGGTGGCCTTGGCCGTGCTGGGGAATGGTTGGACTCGATCTTGGCGAGTTTTTCCAGCCTGAACGAGTCTGTGATCAGAAGGGCCTTGTAGGAGTTGGTAATGGCAGAGCCATTCCCTCTGTGTCCAGGTTGTTAATCCTCTTTTGCAAGATGTAGGGTAGGAGTGTAAACACAGGTCTCACCTCCAGATAAGTGATCTGCTCAGCTAGGCTGGATGATAGTCTGAATTGCAGTTAATTAATTAAATATTCATGGGCATAAACATTGCAGTCCCAGGCTTCCTCTGCCTAGATAAGTACGTGAACAAGGATTACAGACTCAAATGCTGTCGCTGCTCTATGGAAGATGTTTAATTTTCAACATCTGTTGTAGTCACTGAATCCATTATGTCCTGCTGATGAAAACGAATTTCTTGCTGAAGTGTTTTGCTGGACGGGACTTTAAAGACAAGAGGGTGTAGCTCAGCCAGGCTTTGTGTGGGTTGCAGTTTCAGTGGCAGAGAAGGAAGGCGCCTAATACAGATTATTAGGAAGTTATTAAAGCAGAAAACAGTACCAAACAGGGAAGTCAGCTGGGAGGAGGCAGAAGTGGCACGCTTGGTGCTGAATGGGAGTTGCCTCAGAGAAGCCCTGGGAGGGGTGTAGGACATTCCCGAAGAGTGGATCAGTTGCCCTTTGAGCCCATTGTGTAGGGCCACATAAAGTGAGTAATGGACCCATACCAAACTCCCATTGTGTTTGTTGGAACAGGAGAATTTGGGGTTAGTGGCAGCCCAAAGCTGAAGTTTCAGCTCTGTACTGCTGCTAAAGCAAAGGGCTGTCTTAGAGCAATATTTAATTTGCTTCTGCAGAGCTTGTGTGGATTAACAATAACAGACAGGTACATCCCTGTTGGTACAGTCTTCAGTCATGTGGCTGGGGTGTGCTCCTGTGTTTATGTACACTTTCAGTAAGCTGGAGAGAGGGAGAATTTGAAATTGCTGTGTGCACAGACCACATGTGCTGGTACTTTTTGTGGTTCAGGATTCAGGTTTTTTTTTACTTTTGTGGTTTATTTTGTCCTTGGAGCAATTCACAGCAAATCTTGCTCTGCTTGATCTAAATGAGAAGTGTTTGGAATAAATTCCCTTCCAGTGTGGCTTATGTGTATGAATCCCTTCTCCATGGTCATGAAAAGATAATTTTTGAAGTGGCACGTACAAAATGTTTGTTTGCAGAGGGCAAAACCCTGACAGGCTTTGTAGAGGTTCTCTGTCCATGTGAGAAATTTTGGGAGTCAGGTGTTTGTGTGGCTGGGCTCAGTTCTGTGACATGCAAAGGGCTCCCATGGAAATGGTGTAATATTAACCAGCTTTAGGGTTGGTCCGTGTTGTAACACAGCCTGCCATTTCCCCATTTCACCTGCCAACTGGAACTCATAAATTATGAGCAGATGACTGGATTGCTTGTAATTAGACAATGCGTAGTGGATAAAGGCCTTTGCCATAGATGAAATTCTCACTTTCATCTCTGGGTTGGCTGAAGCCAAGGGTTACCTGTTGAAATTTAAAAAAAAAAAAAAAAAAAAAAAAAAAAAAGGACATTTGATTGCTTCTACATAAAATTGGCACACTAAGTGTAAATCTATCAAATGTTTATTCTAAAATTAAAATATCTTATTTATAAATCTTAAAGACTTGCAAAAATATTAATGGACGTTTTAGTGTTACCTTTTAAAATTGTCCTTATAAGCCTCATGGCCGGAGGTTGGAACGTGAAGAACTTTAAAGTCTCTTCCAACCCAAACCAATCTGTGATCCTGTAAAACAGACCCAGGCTGACTGGTCAGGCCGTCCTGAATTCCAAACCCACAACAGCACTGGGCTTTCCCTTTGGAATCCCACCTTCCCCTTCCTTCTCCCCACTAGAAAATGCTGCATCTCCAGACACTTCTGAACTGCTTGCAGAGAGCAGCCTGAGCTGTGCCCCTTGGGAATGCTGGAAAACAGGAACAGCCCGAGATCCCTTTCCATGGCAGTGTCCCCACTGCTGGGGGACAGCTCCAGAGGCCTTGGAGGTGGCACCTCCTTGTGCAGAGCCCTGAGCTGTGTGTGGGCAATCCAGGCTGGCACAGACACAGAGTTTCTGCCTCTTGGTCCCCTCCCAGCCTGTGCCAGTCCAGCCTGCTTGGCTGGAATGGGAGAAAGGGCAGGCAAATCTGTTTTTGTAAAGCAGTTCTTTGAAAATGAAAGAGTTTGGGTATCTCAAAAATAAGCATAATTTTATCCAGGCAAAACATTCTTAGGTTCTGTATAATATTACATATACAATGAGAATATTATAAAAGTCTGTTTCAACTTAAAATGCTCCAGACTCCTCCGCTGTGGGTTTATTCCTCTGAGACACCCTGGATGAGTTATCCTCTGTAGACTTTGAGTTAATCCTGGCACGTTTGTGCCACCCTTCAGTGAATTCCTGGGCTGTTGTTCAGTGTCACACAATGGCCATGTGTTGTCCCCGTGCTGGGATGAAGCCGTCCCTGCTGTCCCACGGCTCTCCGGTGTCACAGCTCCTGTGCTCCTCAGGGACACCGGGCTCAGGCTGTGCCTGCTCTGAGACCAGGCTGCAGGAAGGACCAGTGGCCATTCCTGTGCTGAGCATTTCACTTTTTAGCTCCAGTTCTGTGGGTGTTGGTGGTGAAGGATTGGGCTGCATGTTCCATTTCTCTGTGTTGTGTCCCCAGAGTCCTGCTGGCCCATGGGGTGGCAGCTGCGCTGAGCAGCTCCCCAAGTTTCTGCAACCTTTTTAATTTTGAAATTTTTTAATTACTCTGACTGCTGCAAAAACAGTTGCTTTTCTACTTTTGTTTCTCTTTCCTGGTGCTGTTATGATTCACTCTTGGGAGGTTTGGAAAACTGCTCCAGGCTTCCTAAACTTATGCAACAGTTGATAGGAAACCTGACCTACTTCAGAGCTGCTCTCACCTGGCTGAGAATGTGGCTGAGACTGAACTGCAGCAACATAAACTTCCCCCTGGCTTTGGGGAAGAAATGATTCATTATGAAAATTGGAGCTTTGTGCTGTGAGGGAGGATAAACAGTATGCTGCAAACTGACAAATTGCCCAGGCCTTAGACTGGGTTCAGTGGGAGCTCTGCTTGTTTGGGTCAAGACCTGGATGTGAAGGGTTGAAGCAATGTGTGATTTGTTAGATCTGGGGAGGACAGTGTCTGCAATTGCCTCTAGACAGTGCTGGGGCAAAACCTGAAGAAATCTATTTAAAAACAAAGCTGCTGCCAGGGACAGATTCTTGTAATTTAAAGAGGCACATCTCATTTTTCATCCAGGAATGTGCAGATGCTCCATGTGGACATCATTCCCAGAGGTGGCAGCTGTGTGCACTGGCTGTGACCCAGGGGGTTGTTGGGCAGCTCCTCTCCCTGTTCACTTCTGAGTTTAAGCAAAATCCAAATTTTCACGCCTTGGTGAAACAAAAAGAATAGGATGCATCTCCATCTACACCAGCTGAGTTTGATGTGTAACGTGAAAAAACAGAAAATAAGAGATGGATTGGGACATGGAATCCAGGAAGCCTCATCCAGGTTTGATTTGTAGCCTGTTCTGCTGCACTTAGAGAAAATTTGGACTAATTCCCTCAGACCTGCAAAGAGGGGATTGAGAAAAGCCCAGCTCTTAAAATGCAGTGAAGGATTATGCCTTGCGGTGCTGCACATGGACCAGTTCCTTTGGGGTGTGAAGGCCCTGGGCTTAAAACATCTCCAGGTGATTGTGGCCGGTGGATCCAAAGTATTTACAGCCAGTGTCCATAATCAGATTCCTGTGCCAGAAAAGGTGTTTGAGGTTGAGGTGCAGTAATCTCTGAAGCTTTTTTCCTTCCTTGCAGGGCACCATCCGCAGGATCATTATCGAGAACCCGGATCAGGTAGGGAAACTGTGCTGGACTTCCCTCAGCTCCTCCACAGGGGATGAGAAACTCTGAGCACACAGTTCACACCTCTGAGGGTGAGAGATGCAATTCTGAGCAATTGGAAACACTGCAGAACAGCCACTCAGGCTCCCACCTCTCAGCAGTTAAATCTTTATTAATATTGATTAATCACTAACTGTTTCTACTGTATTTATTTCACATAGTCCCCATCCAAGCACAACCACTTTGTTTCCAAATGAACACACACTCATTCACATGTTCACATCTTAAAGGACATCTCACATATCTTTAAATTATCTATTTTTACTCAGAATTACACTAATCCTGAGCTTGCTGTTTGACAAGATTTATGGATGTTTTTGTTTGTGTGTTTTACAGGAGCCATTATCCCCTTTTCTTAGAGGGGCAAGTTTCTCTCCTGGAAATAATGTCATCTATGAAAAAACAATAAGAAAATATGAGCTATTGAATCCCCTCCAAGTAAGTTGGGTGTTTATATTACCTATTGCAAGAAGAAAATTGAGTTGGTAGCAGGAAATTGATGTGTCTGGGTTGGGTTGGTTCTGGATTTTTTTCTTATTTTTGTTAGGTGTAGCTGCCAACCTGAGAACTGCCTTGTTGTGATCTAGGAGACATTATCAAAGTAAATGAAGCAGTATTTAAGGAGAGCAGAAGGTGGAATATTTGCCATATTTTTCCAAAGAATTTATTATTAACTAACAATGAAAACTGCTGTTGTATCTCCAATACTGTTAGTCTATATGTGAATAGTAGCTGTGAATCAGTTTCTTGCAATAGCTTCATAACAGAACAACCAAGATACATTTTTAGAAAAAAAAATTTAAAATAATTTTTTTTTTTTGCTAAGTCTTGAAAACAATATATTTGGCAAACCTGTCTGAAATTTCATCTCCCAATTGTTGTTTTGTCAGTAGCAAAAATATCGTTTCATTTTATTGCTCTGAAACATTTCCAACAGGGAAAAAACATTGAAATTTAGCATATCTCAGAGTGATTTACCTGAGGATTTTTACTTAGTTTTTTTAAAAGGAACTTTTCATGGCTCTCTGGATTTTAGAGAGCTGAATTCTGCAATATCCAGTCTCTGAAGTGGAAAAGGAAAAAAACCTGTAATTACAGATAACAGCTTCTGTCTTTCTGCAGATGATGTGCAATTAAAAGAATAAAAAATTGTGGAGTTTAGCCCTGGAAATCATAATTTTACTTAAGATTTTTTTACCTGGGCTATGTTTAGATTTAGGTCAAATCAGGAGCATAGTTCTAAAGGCAATTTTCATATGTAGTAGGACATCCACCTTGGGAAAGGTATTTTGCCTGTGCTTCTCCCTGGCAGCTACTAAAATTGGAAAGAAAGTTGGTGAATTACAACCCTGGAGTATGAAAGTGTAAGGCAAACTCGCATTCAGTTAGGTATAAAAGCAATTTAATTTGGAATATTAAAACATCCGAAACCACCAGCAGCACTGCCGGTCACGGGCACATTTCATTCACTGTTGAGGCTGGTGCAGTGCCCAGCATTAACCCTTTCTGCCCCAGCAGGCATTTCCCAGCATTAACCCTTTCTGCCCCAGCAGGCATTTCCCA